AAATAGATGCACCAAAGACTAGTCCACCGAAACCAATCAGTAAGAGTAGAAATGCTATGACTGGCAAAAATGAGAGATAAGAAAAAATGAAGTTTAGTGATTAAAAATGACTCACTGAAGAAGATGCGCGGATAAAGACTCACTTGAAAGTGAGCCCGCATCCATCTGCTGATACTATTAGAGTTGAGTTCACAGAAATACCAATCTTGACGTATGTGACACAGAAAATACAAGAACAGCGCTAAATGATATAACAGAGGTGGACCGAGACACACTAGAATCATAAGAAATTTTGGCCGGTAGACAGCTATCATAATGATGAATGAAATAAAGACCAATAGAGCACTGATCATGCTTAAACTAAAAACAACATATTATGTCATCATTTTGCAATATCTCTTCATCATTCCACTTACATATTGATTACAAGGGCTTGCCAATTTTGAATAGAATTATTTTTCAGTCTAAGATCGAATGGCATAAGAAGAAAAATTTCCAGTAGCCCTAAAATAAGCGAGAAGAGTAGGCAACGAAAATGTTTTCCAGGTAATACTAACACATGAGAATAATTATAATTATGAGCAGTACCTTAAGATTAGAAGATAGATCTTTGTTTGAACGACAAATGAATGTCAAAGACGTGGCTAGAGCTATTAAGAACAACACTACAAACATTTTGAGAGCGCTGAATTTCTGTATGTTGTCGAATTTTTCAGCTCCCACTCGTTTCACCGGATACTAACAGCAACAAGATTTTACACAACAATTAGTAGTACAACAAGTGTTAGCATTGTCGTTCATTTCATTGGAATCTCGCTGAATTGGCAAACAGAGACAACCTAAGCAGAGCAACCAAATAACGCAAACCACCCAAAAGACAGCCCATGACCAGGATGCCTCAGGCAGCAGTGTTGCAATGAGTTGAAGTGTTAATGAAACAACAACCTACATGAAACACATTGCTAAAAATGACGACTTGACCTCATCATTATTTTTTCTAAGCAAATACTCTATGAATCAGACTGCTTAAATGAACAACCAGATGGTAGACAAGTGAGACTTGAGTATTTAACGGAATGTCAGCTAATCGCATAAAACGACTCTCGTAGGTCTACACAAAAATAGGAAAATTTCATCTGACCTATTTATTTTCAGGACATCATTTCCACTTTTGATTGAAAGTTCCAATTTACTGTGATTTTAATATCATGTTAATTGGGAAAAAAGCAGATACGGCCGGTCTGTATAACATAATACTTCCATCATTATAAAATCGTAGATTTCGGTAGCATCAATAATATAAAAAACAAGTGCCTATACCGATTTACCTGCAAGAATATGGAGCAGAGAGTTCCTTGTGTGCGGCGTTCATCGTTTTGATCAATCTGTTGGCTTTCATCATGTGACTCGTTGCATCCGACCAGCTGTTGTTCACTGCATAACTTGTTTGAGGAAAAGCAAGGCAAAGTATTCTTGCAAGAGTAGATCACGAAACAATAGACTGCAATGATTTCGATGAGCAGTGAGCTCCACATGATCGCTAGAGGTACCTATTAATGATATGCTAAATGAGTGACATAGAGTAATGATGTGCAAATTTTGAAGAAAAAAGAAAGCTGATAAAATATCAAAACCATATTTTCCAAAGATTTTGTTACTATCGCAACTAGTTTTGTAATGTCGAAGACTTATTATTCCAAACTTTCTCGCACTTGTATGTTTTTCTTGCACTCATGCACTTTCGTTCACTTTCGTAGAAGTCTTTTTTGGATAACCTGAGTTAAATAAAAGAGAAACAAAGAAAGTATGTGACCTGTCCGGTGGATGCAATCAATGCGCTGATGAACGAATCTTTGGCCCAGTAAACGATTATGTAGAGACAAGTGACAAAGAATATAATGCCGCGAAAAGTTTGTCGAACCCACTTATGATTTCGAGAGTGAACCCAGAGGAGTAGTGAGTGGAACATGTCATCGTCACTTTTCGACGACTTAGAAGACGATTCTTTGGTGTTTTTCATTGATAATGAAACAAAAAAATGGATAGCTAACTGGATAACAAACCAGAAATGGTGAGCCGAGCTAAATGAAGATCGAGAGATTAGAACGAGGCAAAATCAATTGCTGTAACTAACAATAAGGCGATGCCAATCATCATGAACCAGGAGCTGGCAAAAGTTAGCCACCCAGTTCCAAATGGGAGAAAGAGCAGCTGAAGAACAAAATTCACTGCGAAGGCAAGCCACATGATAGCCGCTTGAAACGTGAAGATAGCTGAGAGCAGTCGAGTGAATAATGTATCGGTCAGCCAATCGAAAGCACGCAATACAAAATTCAGACATTTCTGGTTGGAAAAGAAGCTCTTCTGCTTGGTACCACTTGTTGAGGGACTCAGTCTCTGTGAGCCATCGAGATTAGCTTCACACTGAAGAGATTCAGCCCCTCTAGCACTATCCAATGGTTTCGTCACTATAACGAGACTCGTATTACTTAAACAGAGAATAAAAAATTATCAAGTTCAGTATCGTATATGGTCGTTGAGGCCGAAAAATGCATTTATTTTCAAAATTCTAAAAGAAAACTGCTCCATGATTTCTAAGACAAAAATGGAATTGCCCTGAAGTAATTTTGCTCATGTTATAGGTATCAAAGTTCTAAATCGCCTTTGAAACGGATCTATTGTCAAAAAGCAGATCTTTATGAGTGATGATTGACGCAAGAATAATTTGAGAGTGTGAGTCTTTGGGCCGAAATTTTGCACAGATGCAGATCAAGATCGAGATATATCTGAAACAAAAGTATTGGATATTTTCAAAAGTGCCTTTCTGAAATGCCGAATTTTTAAAAAGTGATGAATTTCTTAAAAAGCAGAGTTCTTAAAAACTTCATATCCCAGAAAGAAGTTAACGAAAAGTTCGAATAATGTAGCCTCGCGTATATCTCGGTTTAATCTATATCTATGTAGTGTTTGAGGGTGGAGATTTAAATTTGCATTTTCCTAGAAAAAACCATCTTGCTGACAGATATCCACTTAAAAGTCCAATGACTCGAACATTCAAATTGTTCTTGAGCTAATCACCACTCATGAAGATGCCGCTTTTGAAAATAGTTTGATTCCAAAAGGCATTGGACATTTGAATATCCTCCCTCGTCAGTAACTGAAATTTTAATGCTTTTTTTCACGTAGCTTCTACAAAAAGTAACGCATGAAATATGACACCATGTAAATCATCCAAAAGGCATCAATTTCTAGAAATAGATATTAATCTGAAGTAAACAAGTAATTGTAGGAGAATGACACTTTGTTATGTAAGAGAAGGATTCATTGTATCGAATGAGGGAAGAGATCACTGCCTACTAGATTCAAGATATGTGTCCTACCTGATAGGTTTTCGGTTGACTGATCATTGTCGGAGGAACGGACCGGTTCCAACGGGGACAGTGGATAAGCACTAATGTGTCTGGTATTTCGACCAATAACTTGTCCATCATGAGTGCCATTAGCGGAGTTGGCGAATTCATCTAATTCCTTCCCATTTTCAGTATGGTCGTTAAACAGCTTTGAACGCCATTTCTTTGTTATTTTAGTTAGTCGGTTCGATGAATCAGTGGTCATGCTGTAAGAATGAATCAAAAGCAACTGAAAATTCACAAGGGCACATCGTCTTTCTTTTAATAATGGGATTCTTTTTAGCAAAAAGTAATGATTTTATTTCTTGTGTCAATGCTATTTATCATCAGCCAAAATGCATGCTTGAATCGATCGTACATTTCAAATGATGCTACTATTAAAATTATTGTCGTTTGGTCACTCACATTAACCGAAAGCTGTGCTCTGAAATTACAGTATCGTTTGTAGCATTGCTCTCTGACAAATCGAATGCATTAGACTGCGAGATCACAAGAATGCTATTCTGTTTCAAAGGTCACTGTCGAATAAGCTCGCAAATTTGTCACCCACATGAAATAATTGTTTTCGTACTTTGAATAACAGCCGATACTTTTCTGGATGTTGCTGTGTGCTGGGTATCATATTAAACTGCGATTGACACAAAAGAATTGGACGAACCATTTTGAATGTTGACAGTAGATGGCGGCCGCAGTGCATCATAACATCATGAGGTCCGTGAATGTTTTTCTCTTATCAATCTTCTTAATTTTTATTCCTACGAGTTAGATGTCTGTTCGTTTCTTCTACAAGACGCGAACAGACGGCATGTAGTCGATGTTTCTGGGCGAAAAATACAGAGTGAGTAGAGTGACTCGAATTATCTACAGCGTGAATGGGTGTGAATTAGTATGGGTGTAGGTTTCTTCTCATATGTCGCATGCACAGTGTCGTGTTCTGAAAGTGCCACGTATCCATAAAAGTAGTTTGCATGTTTGAATACTATCCTTCACAAACATAGAGAACAGTGTCCGACATGGGTCACTTTTTTATGACCCGACCCGACCCGACCCGACCCAGCGACAAATTCTCATTGTGTGACACAACACGACCAGAACCTAGTCAAACATATTTTTAACAGTTAATTCAAATTGACCCCCATTTAAGAACAAAGTTAATTATTAATCAATTTTAGCCAGCTAGTTTTAGTTTTTTTCTTCAACGTTGTATTTTATATTTTTTTGCTTTTCTTTTCTCTTTTCTTGAGAAATTCAATTTTTCAATTCTTTGTTTTTCTTTACTTTATTACCTAGTTGAAAACAAGGAATATGTCTTCGCCCTTTTTTCTTTCTGTACATTTCCTCGATATTGCGTAGTTAAGGCAGCAACCTTATGAAATAAAATTTTTTCTTATTTTCCCCTCATTGTTTGATGGATATAATCCAAGTCCTCAGTATTACGATTTAACATACAATGCACTTGCTACGAATGTTTATGTTATATCGATGAAGACAAAATGATGAAATAGAACAGAAAATACATGATACATAATTTCTCGTTGTATTAAACTTTTTCATGTACTGTGAAAGAACTTTCAACTAAAAAATATTCAGATGCATGGCCCGACCCAACCCGACCCGATCCGACCCGACCCGGCCCGAGGTCTGACCCGTCCTGAGTCGGACACTGATAGAGAAAATTGTATTTGTAGTACCACGTTCAGATCCTTTAGGTGAACTGGGATAGAGATGGTCAAGATCTAATTATCGTCATGAAAATTGGCTCTTGGAAACATGGATGGGTGTGGCTTCATCTTATCTTAACCCACACCCACACCCTCTGAATGTTAACTACAAAATTCGCAATATTGAGTTAGTCTGCCGGTCTTGTATTTCTCATCCAGATATTTTCACTACGAAATGTGTATACGCAGCTTGTAGAAGAAATAAAAACGCATATCATGATTAGAATAACGATTGAAAACATTAGTGATAGAAAAAGTTTCCTGAACCTATTGGTGTCATGACGCACTGTGGTGAGATATACAATGTGGTTTCTCCAGTTGTCTTTTGCGGAGTAAAGTTTAAAAAGAAATCTAATACACGGTTAGAGGTGTAAGAGGTGCGGCTGAGCCGCCGCCACTGCCGATACCTGAATACGAAAGTCGAAAGCTTTTTATTTATAGTCATCTATGTTTGAGTCATGAAATTTTTTATCAATCTTTTCGGTTGGTTATGTATACAAAAAAGCAGAGTACTCTATATCAGGAATACGTAAAATACAAAAAAGTTTTATTAATGTTAGTGGTTCAAATTTTATTTGTATCTCGCTGTATTACTCCATATAACAAGTTTTCATAATTTTAATGAGAGGTTTTTTTTGCTCTAAGTAAGCTACCTAATGTACTGAAACAAGATTCTAAACGAATTGATTGCGAAATTTTCTTCTATGAATGAAGCTTCGAGCAAATAGATGATAGTTCATCCTCAATAGAAAAGGAATTAGCGTCTACAGTTTTACATGACGCACAGGAAATACGATAAATCTCCGATTTGATAGTTTACCGAGTGATAGAAACTCAGCAAACCAAAACAACAAAGTAGCATATTTCCTCTGTTTTCTCTAAAAACGAAGCAACAAAACCTACACAATGAAAATAAGAGCTTCGACATAGCTCAAACTTTGTGTTTATAACTATCAACAAAGCCTACCCATCCTTAGAATCGCTGGATCTTTTGACTTCGGACCAAAGTAATCAGTAATTGATTATTTCTATCTAAATTACTTATACGTAATATTTCGATTAAAATAACGTGCGAAATACAATTATTTCATTTAGTTTTTTGAAATTATTAGAAATCAGATATCGAAATAAACGGGCATTTCTTATCATCCAAAGAATTACTCAGCTTCGAAATTTCTATCCACCGCCGTATCAGTATAGACTATAAGTTGCCGCCGCCGATCGACTCATCGGCTTACACCTTTACACACAGTGGTATGCAAAAAAGATACGCACTTTCATTTTAAATACTAACGAAACTGTTTCAGAGCAGGAGGTGGCAGGTTTGCAACCATAACTGACAGTGTTCTTTGTTGATTAACTCTCACATAATCATCATAATGACAGTACCAAGACTTTACAAATTGTTTGCATTTTGTCTCATCTCTCGTTTACACGACTATTGAATAATTTTCGAAGTTCCATGAAGAAATATATACTCCTACCTTTGATATTGATGTCTTGCTTCATGCATTGTGTGACTCTAAACAAATGTGTCAATGATCTTGAAGAACTGCACATGAATGGACACATATAGATAACAAATATTTTTTTATTTCGGCAGTTATCTATTTAGATAAACACCAGCGCTCTGTTCTGTTGTGCCTACGTTAGAAGATATTTAGTCTCTGTTTGAGATAACATGTCTTCATGATATGCAACGAAAGTAAACGGGCAGCAAATATTAAACATGACGCGACAAAGTAATTGAGATGTCAACTGCGAATGAACTCGACTGTGGTGGGACAACGGAATAGACGTAATTGAACAACTATGAAGTCTAAAGCACACTATCAAGAATTTATATCACAACATCATTTACATTCCTCGGCAGAGCGATAAAAATCGAGATTTTTTACCAGAAAATAGAACTAGAAGTATTTTTCGATTGTTCTCTAATGACAAGAAATACTCATGCCGATATCGTCAGCTTGAACGCCCTCCATGGAAAATCAGATGAAACTCAAAATTGTTATCAATTATTTAAGCAACCAGAAAAAAGTACACAGATCACCTTAGACTTGACGTAGTTTTGAAACATTAGGGATCGGATCCAATAATCACATTGGTATCTACTCGATGGCTTACAATGGCATTGAAATTTTACATTCATTCATAGATGTGTCGAAATGTTTCATGCTCTTTTTATACGGGTGTGGGTGTAGAAAATAATAGCACACATACCCACATCCACATTTCGAAAGAAAGATGTGTTTTTTCAGAAAAGACGATACCTTTCAAGTCTTTCGTATTTTTCGACATGAAAAACACATTTGCTGACGCTAAAGACTACTGTAGTTTTTGTGGCCAGCAGCTTATGCCCTATCGAATGGTGTATAAAAAAGGCGAAAAGAAGATTTTTGCGCGAAATTCACGTTGCCGGCACCTTACTATTTTTCATCTTTGACTTCCACAAACACCCAAACAGGCGTATTTATTTTATTTCACTTAACCCTCCCTTCAATGAGCGAATATATATTTAATTGAAACTTCTTCGATTGAAATTGATTACTGAAAAGCAAACATTAGGGCCAGTAGGTTGATTTGTCTTCGGTTCGTCAAAGAGATAGGCCAATCGGTTTTTCGATTGACCCCGTCACCGTCAATAGTTCCATAGTTGAACTACCGTCAGATGGGTTAGCAGAAATGAACGTTCATTGACTTTAACCGTTCAACTACAGAAACATAGGGTGTGGGCGTGGGTGTGGCTGGATGTGGGTGTGGGTGTTACTGAACTGAACAGTTATTTTCACACTCACCTCCACACCCACACCCACCGACACCCACCCACACCCACCGACACCCACCCACACCCACCGACACCCACCCACACCCACACCCACACCCACACCCATACCCACACCCACACCCACACGCACCCACACCCACACCCTCCAAGCTGCATTAGAATATATAATTGCATTTTTGAAAAAAAAACTTTCGTATAGGAATATAAATTCAAAAAGAAACTTTCGAAGCGCGGAAAAAATGCAATTTTTTTGTAGTTGTCAATTGAGCATGTCTTCCTTGTACCCAAATTTTTTTTCAATATATGAATATAAGAAAAGAGATAAATATACAGAAAGAGAGAGAATTTCATGTTCTATCAGAATCTATAATTACTTTTTCGAAAAAAATAATTCTACAGTGATGAAAGATTTAAAAAAAAAACAATTTTGATCACATTGAAAAAATCAAGACTGTGGTAATCTGGACATGGGGGTGTTTTCACTGCGGGCAATCTGTTTCCTAGTACATAAGTTAAAACTAAATTGATTATTAATATGTTCGTCGGTCGTATTATCAGTTTCTATTCTTATTTAGGAATGAACTAAAATATGTGAAGATAATCTTGATAGGTTTTATTGATTTATCTTGTGTTCGTGAATTGTATGATGAAACGAAAATTTTAGGTTTGAATTGGTTAACACAGAGATGGAACCGGTAGCCGGTCTATCTAACTTTTTTCTGTTTTTTATCTCATAAACTTGTTCAAAACTAAGAGGTCTTAGTGCTATCTTGCACAGAATACAGAAGAAAACTTCAGTGGTAATTGACTCCCTCAATTATCGCTATCCAGGCATAAAATTAGTAATGCTAAAATATTTTAGACCGGCCGGTCCGGTCCGGTCTGACTTATTTGGACCGGTACCGGTCATGAAAAATTCCGACCGGTTCCATCTCTGGGTTAACATATTTGAAGAAAATTTTGGTATGAATTATTCATTTATCATAGATTGATCATATGTTTTTTTTTCTTTCGAAGTGATGAATATATTCTAAAGAATGCTCGTTAGAATTTATTCGTTTGACATATCATATTCAGTGATGTTTTCAAATGGTATCCTTTCATATGAAGTTTTTCCAATGTTTGAAAAGAATCGTTTGTTTAAATTGTTCAGTTGTAATGTACTCGACGATTATGTGGAATAGTTGAAATATTTCTCCTTATTTGGTGAAATATTTAGTTAGACATTTATTATGAGTTATTCATTAACCGTCTATTTATATCCATCGATGATCTTTTCATTCCTGTCTTTTTTCAAAGTGGTCAAAATATTCTCGAGAGATGTTACTTTCCTTATCATATACAATCCTATTGTTAACTCGTGAATGCATTTTAATGATTGATGAGAATATTTTATTGATTTGTACGGCATTAGTAGTTCGTGTAATCTATTCGAAATTTTTGATTTATTTTGATGAAAATATCTGATAGTTAGAATAAATCATATCTCGTGTTACATGATAATGTTCGGTTCAATTAATCTTATTATATGAATAGTTTGAGTGTTGTTTTTCATCGAAAATCATCATTGCTCTTATCTATTGAAATACTACTCACTTTTCTTCTCATCAACTATTTAATTATTGTTTGAATTTATTGTATATTGTTAGCGTCATCAGATGTCGCTTTATGACGCTCACTTACATCTGTGGTAACCGTTTAAGGGAATCCACCGAGTTAAGGGAAATAGGGTAAAATGAATAGAGGCCACGGTAGAACTGTCATGGCGGACCAATAGGATTCCGAGTTTGTAAAACATGGATGTTCCATATTTTATTAAAACTGAAGCTCATTGGTCCGCCATGACAGTTCTACCGTGACCTCTATTCATTTTACCCTATTTCCCTTAAACCGTTACCACATATGTCCAGTATATATATCTTTTTTTTCTTTCTTTCCTGTTGACCGATATATTGTCTATTGATCATCATGAGAACATGATGACCTACTTTTCTCTACTGTGTCATTCTATTTTTCGTTATTACGCATTTGATTTTTCCCTTTCATATTTTCTATGATTTTGTTTTTTCCTCGATATATATTCTTCTTTCTTTGTTCCATTTTCTTTTCTTTCGTCGTATTCGTTATTATCGTTAGGGGTCAAACACACTAGAAAAAAATGACTTAACTGAAGACTAATTTAAGTAACATGATTAGTTAATTTAGACTTAAGTAATGTGATTGGTTAATTCCGACTTAAGTTAAGACAGTTATCTCTAGTGTGTTCGACCCCTTATTCTTTGTTAATATTGTTGTTGTTAACGAGATATGTATTCCATAATTACTTCATCTAGATCTATATCTTCTTTAGACATATACATCAACTGCTAGATAACAATCAATTTATGTAAGCTAATGATTTCATATATGTTATAAAGATAATCTCTACCATATAATCCCCACACGAATTCAAGATCTAACAGATTTATTTGATGATAATCGTTATCGTTTATTTATTGTTTTTCTTGTTTCAAAACTTCTTTGTGAAGTTGATCGACGTCGTTCAAAATGTGAACATGATTGGTATCGTTTATATATTAATGTATCAAAAGAACATCGATTACCAACATTTGATCTTTTTGCTGATCTAGTTTGTCTATTAGCAACACTTACTTACAATCATCTTGATTGTCAAAATCAAGTTCGACAAGTTTGTGGAAGAATTTAATCAATTCTATCAACGACACAAATTGATCTTAATCAACCCAAATCACAAGCATGTGTTACTTGGCTAATTAAATGTTTAACTGAATATAACGAAGAAAATAGAAAGTATATCAAAGAAATCAAATAAAGTTTTTTTTGTTTTCGTTTTTTTAGATGAATAAAAAAATAGAAAAACTTGATGAAACAGTTGTTAATCGTATTGCTGCTGGAGAAATTGTTGTACGACCATGTGCAGCAATAAAAGAATTGATTGAAAATAGTTTAGATGCTGGTGCACATACAATACAAATTCATGTTAAACAAGGTCGATTAAAATCAATTGAAATTCGCGATGATGGTTGTGGAATAAGTAAAGTAGATTTACCATTAGTTTGTCAACGTTTTGCAACATCAAAATAAACAAATTTTGATGATTTTATATCATTTAAATACATATAGTTTTCGTGGTGAAGCATTAACTTCATTAAGTTATGCTGGACATGTTAAAATTATTAGTAAAATAGCTGAAAGTCAATGTGCTTATGTTTGTGAATATGAAGATGGAAAAATTCGACCATCAACATCAATTAAACCTTGTGCAGGTTGGATTATTTAATAAAAATCAAAAGTAAACTAATTTTATTATATAGGAACTAATGGTACATTGATTGTAATTGAAGATCTTTTTTATAATAATCCAATACGTTTAAAAATGATTAAATCATCTTCAGAAGAATATACTCCTATGGTTAATATTGTAATAAAAATGGCTTTACGTAATATTCATGTATCATTTTCCCTTAAAGGTGATACACAAATTGAATCTGATGTTCATACAAATGGAAAAGAAACAACAACAATTTAACATAATATGAAAATGTTATATGGTGCTGATATGGTTAAAGATATGTATGATACAAGTATTAATTATGATGATACTCCTTATAAATTTCAATGTAAAGCTTATTTTACTGGAACACAATATTCAGTTAGTTAGTTTTAATTTAAAATGAAATGTTTATTTATATTAAAGGATTCATCAAAATCTTCATCAAATTCAATAACATTTATTCTTTTTATCAATGGACGTTTAGTTGATTGTCAACCATTAACAAAATCTCTTCAACAAATGTATACTGTTTTAATAAATAAACAAACATCACCATTTGTATATCTTTATTTAATACTGGATCCAACAACATTAGATGTTAATATATATCCAACTAAAAATGAAGTCAGATTTTGACATGCTGATCCAATTATTATTGCAATTGTACGAGCAACTGAACATGTTATTGTTGCTAAATCAGCTAGACAAACAACAACAACAACAACAACAACAATACAATCAACATTTCTTATGGTTAGTTGTAATTTACTAATTTAATTTTCGTTATAGTGAACGCAATACTTTTTGTGAACAATTAGTTTTATTCAGAGAATATTTTAAGTAGAAAAGAGTGAAGTATTCTTTTGAAAACATGATAAGTCGTTGTTCCTTTGTGAAATAGAGTCTATTATGAGTTTTGACGAAAAATGTTTGTTCTGTAATTTTATTGAAGAATAGTAAATGTTAGATACTGATGATCGTTTCATATTGTAATAACATCTGATTATTTGTCACATCTGATATGAAGTAGATGACATGAAAGAATGACAGAACAATTGAGCTTCTATTTATTTGATTATCGTTTCAAGTATGATCTATGATTAGGAAAGGGAGACTCACAATAAAAGGATGACACATCGTCATGAAGTACATTGACTAGTTGGAATGATAGATAGAAAGATTGACTAAAATAAACTTTGAAGTATTCTATGTGTAATATCAATTACGAGTTGTCAAAATATTGATCGACATTTAATATGAATTTATTATTTTTTATAGTTGAATATGCATCGAGAAAAAAAATTCAATAAAATAAAATGAAATAAAAATGAATTATAGGTTCGTTTTATTCTAATTCTATAAGAAATCATCTTGATTGAAAGTAAAGTCGAAATTCTTGCGCTTCTAGACTTTAATGATGATAGAAGAGTGAAATCATCTATCAAACAAATCTCGCCAATATCCTATTACAGCGCATGGCCCTAATAAGGACAGCTTTTCAAACGCCTTGAGAATTTCATTTTTTTTTCAAAAATTTTACATACGATGATATAATTTTTTCATAAATTTGAGTAGAGAAATGTCAGCTGAATCGAATGATGTGAAAATCATTTAATTATCTAAAAAAACAAATGAGTAATTAGCGGTAGTTTGAGAATGATTGAATTTNTAACATTATATATACAAACTTTTCTATGAAAATAAAATATCATCATTATTTAGCATTTTTTTTTAAATTTCTATTCTGACATGAAGAAAAACAAAAAAAGCACCTAATAAAGAATGAAACAGAGTCTTCTACTCGAAATAATGTATGATCTAAACACATGAATTCTTTTAGAAATATTCTATTAAATATGAAAATCGAATCGTCAAAATAACGTACGATGCAAAAGTAATGGCACAAAATGTTGACTCCTACTTTTCTTTGATAGAAGGATGATGAAAAAAAGCTTTTTTTACCAAAAGATAGAACTTTTTCTCCTCTTTCAAATCATGTATAACTTATTTTTATAAGACGTTTATAAACGTAGCGACACAATGAAAAAGAGATACGCTCTCAAAACAAATTCGCATTTTTCATGGAATTTAGGAAAACGGCGCATCGTGTTGATTTTTATATATGTTGAATAGTTCTTCGATAGACACGTTTTAAAAAGAAAACTTTTTTATCGACTGATTTAAAAAGCTTTTGTGAAATGATAGTCACTTCAACTTTCATGAACCCGTTAAAAACTACTTGTAAAACGACAGTTAATTAATATTAACTACCGTCTACCAAACATTTTTGACTAATTCGTATAAAAATTACAAATTTATTATACAAGTATTTCTCTTACTTCTTCGTCTCATTTCATTGATGAATATGTGACAAATATAAATCATACATCATTCGAAAGAGGAGAAAATTTTCGTTTTAGAATATATTTGTGATAGAGATATAAAGATCCATATGTTACACTGTTCTTCTATAGAAAGAGGACGAATTTGTTTTGAGAGTGTCTCTCTCTTTTATTGTGTCGCTTCGTTTATAAATCAGTTATATACGATTCGAAAGAGGAGAAAAAGTTTTCTTTCACCATCCTTCTATCAAAGCGAAGCAGAGGTCAACATTTTGTACCATTACTTTTGCATCGTACGTGTTATTAATAAATAATCATGTTAATACTCTTCTCTAATTTCTACGATATATCTAAATGACAACTTACAATTAAGATCAAAAATTGTTTTATTCTTGATGAATTGAAAAACATTCTATCAATAATTTGCTGCAGTATGAGAATAAAAACGAAGTAGTTTATTACCTTTATAAAATACTTGTTGGATTTATATCATATATGAGAGAAAAAAAAGCAGATCACTAGGTGAAAAAGTGAAAGAGAAAAAAACAACAACAAACAAACAATAATAATAACAACAGTTCATAAGTTTTTTTTGCATTGAACAGGTGGATCAGATCCCTAGAAAAAATAAAACATACATTGCTTTTAAACAATCGAAAATAATTTCATTTTTACTTTATATGATTTACAAATAAGTTCAATAAGATCTTTTTCAGCTTGTTTTTGCATATCATCTGTATGTTCACCATTAAGTGTTATCCAAGGGACATATTGATGTGGTGGTTGAAGATTTTCAGTTTGAACAGCATATACATGTTGTAATTGATTACCTAATCGACTATGAGTACAAGCAGTAATTTGATCATAATCAATTGTTGATTTTTGTGCACATTGTGTTGCTACAGTTTCAACATCACCGTCAGTTGATTCCGTACAATAAATAAATGGCTGAGAGAAAATTCAAAAAAATTAAATTAAATCAATTTTTATTTCATACATAATTTTACCATATGTTGTTCACTTTTTGGATAGAAATTCAAAACACAAGTCTAGAATACAAAACAAACAAACAAACAGCAATTTTATTCATTTTGAATTATACATTAGATATGGGTAAAATCACAAACTGATTTTCCAAAGGTCTGCTTATGCTGTAGAGCGAAACATTTTGTTTTACTATCATCTTGAGATTCTTAATTTGTAGTATTTAGAATTGATTTTTGAATTTCTCATTCAATTACAAGAGAACTTTTTCGTTTCTATATTCGTACTTACTCATGTCACTAATAACACATAAACTCAATTTTTTTGAAAAGCCTAAGCATGGCCAGGATAAACTTTGTAGTCTGAAGAGTCTTCTACAAAATGTACTATTTCGTTCTCAAAGAAAAATACTGTTGTGTGACGCCGCTACTACCAGTTTTTCAAGGTATCTAAAGTATTTCAGCATAGGTCTGGTACATAAAAACTAACTTAAAGAAAATCTTAGAACCAAGGGATATGCGCATTTTGCGAAATCACATCACTAATAAATGAAATTTCTCATGTATATTTGTTTTTTCGCTTTGATATTTACATGAATTAAATTTCCATAACATTCTTCAGGACCATGTTGACAATAGAATTGATAAAGTTTTGTTTCTGGTCGATATAATTCTCGAGCATTTCCATATGGAACAAATGTTATATTAACAATATCAAGTATAGATTGATAAGTATTCCAAACTTGTGTTGTTATAAATTGTCGACAATCAGGGCAGAGTGTTTCATAATAAATGGATAAATTAACACGATCACTTTCTGCACGAATTTTCCAAACATATATTTGACATTGTTCAACTATCTGAAAGAAGAATATTCGAAAAATTAATAGAAAAGAGATTTTCTTTCGTTTACATACATCACAAGCTTGAGCAATTTCTTTTGTTTCACACCATTTTGATGGTGAATTTGGACAATCAATGGTAAGACCATTATTAACAAATAAAAAAAATATAATCGAAACCAAAAGTGACATGTACATAATGATAAAATATTATCTGAAAAGAAAACACCCTATTGAAAATGAAGTATTGATCATAAGAACAAAGGTTAACAAAAGCATCTAGTCTATTTAACAATCAAGAACCTCTCACTGTTTTCTTTTCATAGTGTCTAAATTAAGATATTCAATTTCAAGTCGAGCATCAAAAATCACATCACTAACACCAATACCACGATATGAATTTCCAACCAGTGTTATTGGTAAGTTATTACGTCGAATAAGAGCATAAATATCATCAAGAATATCCTCGTGACCAACATTATAATTCTAAAAATAAGAAAAAGAAATTAGTTCTGCAATCATTCTATAATGAGCCTAATTAGAAGCACATATGGATGTTTGGTTGATCATCTAAGATTAAATCACCTATATCGGTCGTTTAATACAAAAAAAAATAGTATATTTGAGCGAATAGGCTCTTTCTAAAAAGATTTTAGAAACAAGGCCAGTTTACTTGACTGTACCTTAATAATGAATCGTTAAGACTATTGAAAAAAAAGACCGATTAAACGGTTATCTAAGTTTCTGTTGATAAATCATTTATACTTGTATCCTTATGAGATTCGAGATGTGCAGAATGAAGTCTTTTAGTGTCGATGCTTGTCTAGGATAGATCATTTCGATTCCGATTCTTTACTATAAACAATTTTACAATCGTGAACATTTTCATAGCAGACGACATAGTTTATTCTTTATCTTTGAACAATCTATGAAATCAATCTTCTGAAATTCATATCGTTCAGTTTCATGTTTCAATTAAAACTATAGAAGTAACACCAGGTAGACCCGAATGAGCTACGAATATCTTGAAAAGAGTTCTTGTCTTTAGTTTATTGCTGTGGAGCTACTGCACTTTTACCATATTTTTTAAATAAATGTCATGATCTCATCTCAGGAACACCAAAAAAACAATAATTTTCGAAATTCCACTTAAAATTTTGCATAGAGCCAGGCCTTAACGAAAATAATTTTCTTGTGAACGTTTCAAATCTTGTCGTTGTTCCTATTCTAAAATACAACTTATAAGACCTGAAACTTTCAGAATGAACTACTCTGATTAAATCCTATTGCTATATAAACTTCCGAATTAAAATTCGAAAATCAGTTTTTCTGTTACTACGGTATTCATTTTAAAAAATACCATAAAAGTGCAGAATCTTGGCAGCAATAAACCAAATACACAAACTCTCTTTTTAGAGTATTTATAGCTTATTTGGATTTATATACTGCACATAGTCTTAACTTAAATGTAATTTCTCAGTTTGAAGACGTCCCTCGTAACTCTCTCTCGGAATTCTTCTACTAACACATGCTACATATTTCTTCGATAATCTTGACCATGATCTGATAATAATCAAGTCATAATTCGTTGTTACTTTAGAATATAGCCTTTTGGATCGATCCTAAACCTAGTCAAGAGGAGAATTTTTACATTCAGAATTAACCCGATGGATTTTAACACCGAAATTAAAACGATCTATGTACATCTGTAGTTAAAACTAATAATAAGAATTGAATTAACATACTGGTATTGCTTTATTAAGTCTTGAT